CAGGGTATAAAAAGACGGGGGGACATTAAATGCATATTACTAAGTCAAAGAAACTAATCTGAACAGACTGCATACTGTATGATTCCAATTACATTAGACATTCTAGAAAAGGCAAAACTATGGGGACAGTAAAAAGGTTACTGGGTGCCAGGGGTTAGGAGGGAGGGAGAGATGAAAGGGCAGAGCACAGAGGATTTTTAGGGCAGTGAACTACTCTGTATGATGTTCTAATGGTAGATATACGTCATTATACATTTATCCAAACCCACAGAATATATAATACCAAGAATGCACCTTAATATAAACTATGGGTTTTGGGTGATAATGATGCGTTGATACAGCCCATCCATTGTAACAAATCTACCCCTCTGATGCAGGTGTAGGACACTGAGCAGGGTGTGGGTGTGGGGGGTATGTGTGCAGTAGGTGGAAGGGTGGATGGGAGCTCTCTGTGCTTTCAGCTTAAGTTTGATGTGAACCTAAAGTTGCTCTAAAAAATAAGGCCTATTTAAAAATAACCACTGGAGAAGCCTAAGTGTTAACAGTAATTGCCTCCAGGTGAGGAGGTGACAGACGGCTCTTTCTGCACTTTCCACGTTTCCACCTTGACTTCTAGCCTGTGCTCACGCTGCTCCCTCTGCCTGGAACATTCTCCTCGCTCCCCTACCCTGAGGGGCAGTATTTACTCATCCCTTAGGATCGAGTTTAGCTGGGATTTTCTCCAGGAATTCTTCTCTGATCTTCTCCATGTTCAACAGCGCCTGCACCTCCAGCAAGGGGCACATGTTCCATGATCTTATGATTGCCCCTTACCCTGTCTGTCTGCCCTGCTGGGTGTGATCCTTAGAAGAGATGTCTATTTCCTTCTCCTTGTAGCCCCAGCACCTACTGCAGTGACAGGCATAGAGTCATTTCATGAATTTTCTGAATATATGAATATGAATGAGATCAGGACAACTGTACAGAAACAACAAAATGAGCAGCAGAAAACTCAAGGTGAAAAGAACCTGAACAATACAGTGAAAGTGGGGAATGGCCATCCTGAAGGTTGTGGTGGTCCTGGAAACAAACCAGGGCTGTGAGAGAGATGACAAGAAATGAGGAACAGACAGACGCTCATGGGCCTGTGTCAAGAGTGAGACACTGCAATGCAAATCAGGTCAGTGCAAGTGGATCTCCTTATGTGTATCACAACAGGGCTGGCCCGGTGTGACAGCACAGGTAAGAGTTAAAAAGCTCATGGTGGAAAGAAGACCTTGGACCCTGGTCTCAATTTTGACAGTCTCTACCACACGCACTAATGGGCCCCGCAATGTCCATATGCCCTCCAGCACCAATCACTACCAACAATCCGTCAACAGTTCTGCAAATGCTTAAGAACCTCCTCTGAGGGAACCCTGTACTGTGTATGTTTTTGTTTGCTTCTGGGGAGCTGAGCTGGGGGAGATGATGTCAATGAGACTGTATCACAGACTTTTGTTTCTGCACTTCATCATTCCAGGAGGCCCACAGTTCACCCAAAGACAATAATGCCTTCCATGACTACATATCCTATTTTTTTTGGAAAACCAATACTGTTTGGAAATGAGAAGGGGAAGGAGAATAGAAGGGAAAAAATGAACAAAGACCCTTTTTGTTTTTCCAAATAAAGATTTCCTATGCAGGCAGTGCAATCTGGAGGCAGGCCTGCCATCCTCCCCCCTCATCTCTCTCTCCCACTAGAGAAAAAGCACCTCTGTGTCCTCCTAATCCTCAAGGAAGCACCCACATTAGAGAAGCTTCTGGAGCCCCCTGTAAACTCCACAGCACTCTATTTGCAAGCAAGGCTGGGATGATTCCAGTCTGCCTTTGCTCTAGTCCCCAGTGCTCCCTGCACAAAGCTCTGGATCTTATTTCAAGAATTCATCTGCTCCAATTTTGTCTCCTACCCAAGGTCTCGACCCTCAGCTGAATTACAATTAGTTGCCCTGAGGATCCTGGAAGAGGCTCATTTCAGAGGAAAATGCCTTCTGCCAGGCAGTGCCAATCGAGCCCGTAGTTAGCATCTATGAATTTCAACTCTAAAGAACTGCCTCTGCTCACGTGGCCCAGAGAAATCTGTCTTTCACGATGGCCCATATTTGCCGTACTTTAGACAGGCTTCTCTATAATGCTGAAATTGTTTCTCCCAAATCTCATTTTTGAAACAATCACTGCTGAGTAAGTTTTCTTTCCAAGCTGCCTTGAGAATTTCTTCTTAAAATAAGAAGAATTATTGCTTTTCTGAAGAATGGAGGTTGCAAAATCTGACAGCCAATGTGCAGGACTGAGGGGCGGGAGGCAAGAGTTCTCTTCTGGGTTCTGTGCCGAAGTCACTGAGAAGAAAGGGCAACAATCAAGGGGCCTGGGTTCTCATTCCCATCTGGGACATGGGACAGTGCTCATCTCTCCCTTCCTGGGCTTTGGGAATGGTACTGTATTCAACTGATACTTTTGGTCTCTGGAGAAACAGATGCACTTGGTGAATGCCAGCCTTGTAAAATTTGCCTTTTTCCCAAGTTCGTTTCACACAGAAGCTGAGGTGAGGGGGATGAGGCTGTATGGGGAAGCTAGGTGCTCATCCCTCCTCTGCAGCCAGCCGGCCACATGCTCTCGGCGAGCTCGGTCCACGGCTCCAGGACTCAGCCTCCCATCTGCACAAGCAAAGGCTGAGTTACGCTGTGATTTTCACACATCTTTAAGCAGTGGAGCTCCTCTTAGCGAACAGTTTTTCACAAATCAAGGACAGACCCTGCTAGGAGAGCTATGTGAACCCCACCTGCACCGGCAAGGTTCTCCACAGCCCTCACAGTGCTCCCTGAGGCATCCCCGGGCCCCTTCTTACATAGAAGCACGTGCTCCAAGCCAGGGCCTTCTCCCTCAGAGGTTGTCATCAAGAAAAAGTGAGATAATACATGGTTCTGGCCCATAGACGTGGTTCTTAAAACAGTGAATAGATGGGAAGACAATTTAGGCTGAAGGTGGGACAATAGCACATTTGTTTAGTGTTTTACAATTTGCAAAGCCCTTTCACCCATGGAAAGGGGGAGACCGGACCTTGACGTCTATACATTTATCCCTGACTCCCCCTCTGACAAGCCAGTCATAAACAATGTTAACAACAATAATGATAATGCCAGGGTTAAATGTTTATTTCTGATGTTCACTTTGTGCCATGTATTGTCCTAACCACCTCACATATATTAACCCATTTAATAGTCATGACCACCTAAGAGGTAGATTCCATTTCATTGATGAGGCAACTGAAGCAGAGAGGTTGAGTGACTAGGTAAAGGTAACAGACCTAGTAAGTGCCAGGGCCAGGAGCAAAGCTGCAACTATTGCTAAAGAATGGTGCTACAGAGACACGGAGACCCACCTGCAGGAGACCTCACAGACCTCACTTCAGGGACATAAATAAATCTCATATAATAGACGCTACTGTAACCATGGCAGAAGTGTTAAGGGACAGAGAAAGGAGCTCTGATAATTCACTTGTCAAACATGTATTAAGCACCTACTGTATGCCTAAGGAGCTGAGAATGTGTGGTGAACAAGACTGACCGGGTGGACCCAGCTCTCAGAATGTGGAGTCCAGTAGGATAAACACGCGACAGGTCCATGTTTATACATACAATGCTCACATGTTATACTTATTGGTATTTTAATTCTGCTGTGATAAGATCAAAGAAGGAAAATTAAAGGGCCCCCTGAGAATGAGTGTATGTCAAGAGTGAGGGAAGAATTAGAGGTAATAAGAACTGAATGTAAGATGTGTGTATGTTTGAGTATGTATACATGCACACATATACACATATGCCAGGTAATTAGGGGTGCAGTATTAAAATGAGGCACAAGAAACTCAAGTTTTGATTATTCTGGATAATTCTGGATAAAAATAATATTATTTATTATTATTATTAGGCTCCTCTTCACTACTTGTTAGTGCCCCTACTAGAAGGTGAGAAAAGGAAAGGGCTTCGCTTGATTTTACTGCAGGTGGTAAAAGCTCTGATGCAAAGAATAAGTGTAAGACCATTGGCTGGAGGACAAATTCTTCTTGGATTTCATTTGTGGCTCCACTTCTGTGTCTCACAAACCCATGAGTAAGACTCAGTGAAGAGGCTCTACAGTGTGGTCCAGAGGTTAAGATACTGTGCGTGGGGCCAGGAAGACATGGTCTGTTCACTGTGTTACCACCCAAGAGCTGTGGGACCAAGGGCAAGTCACTTAACCTCTATGAGTCTCAGTTTTCACATCTGTAAAATGGGGTGGCAGATATTGTTAGTGGGTTGACCTGATGCCTCCTCTAATTCACTTTTCCTTTTCCTATCTCTACCATAAAGAGGCCCAAAATCAGAACACTCACCTTCCCAGCTACCCTTGCTGATATGGGTGCCCAAATGTCAGAGTTCTGGCTCAGAATCACTGGGGAGACTTTGCATTCTGAATAAGAAGGCAAAATCTTCAAAGGAAGAGGTTTTGTTCTCTTTGCCCTTCCTCAATCTTCTTGCCTGAAAGGTAGACTTCCCAGAAGTACAGCAGCCAGTTTAGGACCATGAGGATGAGGAAGCAGGAAGAGAGAATAAGTCTTGTTCTCCAATGAAAGACTTGAGCAGCTGTGCCAACCCTGGACCTCTTTATGAGATGAAGGAATAAATGAATAACCCCCTTTGTTGAGCTGTTAGCTAGATTTTTCTGTTACTTGCAGTTTCATGTATTTTTACATTGATACAAACAGGATAAAAACAGAACCCACTTCACGGTGACTGGTAACTACATCTCAATTGGTCCCATGAAGTCAGTCCCAGGCTAAGTGAGATAACGTGTGTTCAGTGCCAAGTTCGTGGCCTGGCACGGAACAAGTATCAGCACACATGGCCCATATGCTAGTGCTGCTAAAGAAGGGAAAACCTGCCATCCCTTCGGCAAGTCACGGAACAGAGCAAGGAGGGTGGGAAGCTGGGTGAAAGGGGCCCTACCTCGGTCACTGAAGTCGTCCACGAGCACAATCTCGGCAATCAGCTCCGGGGGTGAGCGGTTCAGCACGCTGTGGACGGTGCGCAGGAGGGAGGACCAGCCCTCATTGTGGAAGGGGATGATGATGCTGGTGTTGGGGAGCGTCTCCAGGTAGCGTTTGCTTTTGCAGCTAGAGGGAGACACAGGAGATGAAGAGGACAGGTTCAGCTCTCAGGCTGCCCAGAGAACTCAGGCTGATGGTTCAGCTCACTGCAATTCCTGCTTCCTCTCCAAGCCTCTAGGGACTGAGGGAAAGCTGCGGACACCACGGTCACTTCAGAACTGTCTTCTGCTTGGCATCCTAGCACGCATAAACACACACACGTACACTCACATAGACACACACACACATGATCCCCCAGCTCTGTACATGAAAATTACAAAACAACAACTCCCAGCGGTGGAGGAGCAGCACTGGGGTTTGGTGTTTACACGCACTAACTTGTTTGTACCTCAATTGTGATAGGAACATGGCTGTTCATCTTCATGTTTCCATGTGGCGGCTAGCCCTTCCATAGTACTCTTGCCTCTTTCCCCACCCCTTGCACAAGTTCCTCTCCATGGAGGAAAAGCCATGTATCCATGAACTTGGAAGAATAAACTGGGTCTCTTTTGCTCTCCACCAGCCCTATCCTAAACCTGAGGGTGGAAGGCCCTGTTCCCTGGGCCTTTCATATCATGGTAAGCTCCAAGGAATTAACATAGTTACTTAGGATCAGAAAATATCTAGCTGATGTTCAAACTTCCCTGACTGTTCTGTATTTTTTTAAAGCTGGTTGTTAAAAACCAGGATCAAGACAAGGCTGACCTAGTGCCTTTAGGTGATGTGTCTCCTAGTCTCTTTTCCCCTTACCCTTTATTTTGTTGAGGAAACCCAGTCATCTGTCCTAGAGTATTTCCCACAGTCTTCATTTTGCTTTCTGCATTGCTGTGGTGTCTCTCAACATGTTCCTCTATCTGCCCTATGTTGGCTCCTGTAAACTGGTAGTGGGAGACAGAGGCTTGACCTGATTTGACGAGAATATTCTTTCTGGCAGCCTCTTCATGGGTACTTGTGTGTAGCAAAGAAGACCCAGCACAGTCAAAAATACATAAAATAAAATTCTACTTAGTCATGGTGCATAATCCTTATATGTTGCTTATATAATCCTTATATATTGGTTTGCTAGTATTTTGTTGAGGCTTTTTACATCTATATTTATAAGGGAAACTGGTCTGGAGTTTTCTTAGGCTTTTGTCTGGTTTTACATTTTAACTCTTTTGCTAAAAATCAGGGTTCTTAGCATCAACATTACTAGGCTGCTTTTCCCTATAATATAATAATAGTTTTAGAAAAACAATACCAATATTATTGCTAACAACATGATGATAGAAAATTTAAGAATCTTTTCATCTTTCATTTCTTTTCATTGTTGGGGTATGTTTCAATAGAGATATTAGAGATTTTCGCACGGCCCAGAAAAGAGGAGCTGAAGACCAGGCAGGCCCAGAGGGAATGACAAAACTATCCACCTTGTGCCTGTCTCTGGCACAAGGAGTGGAAGTTGGGAGCAAGGATGTAAAAGGCATCACAAGGGGGTTTCACAAGGCTGCTAAGAAGTTTTTTGGGGGAAACTTGTGACACCTAGGACAATAAGCATAACAAGAAAATATCTTCTTTTGTATGCCACTGCAATCCACTGTCTAAATAAGCCAGGCTCTCCTTACAACTTACTGGTGGTCCAGTGGTTAAGAATCCATCTGCCAATGCAGGGGACTCAGGTTCAATCCCTGGTCTGGGAAGATCTCATATGCCATGAGGCAACTAAGCCTGTGCACCACAACCTACTGAGCCTGTGTGCCTTAGAGCCCGTGCTCCACAGTAAGAGAAGCCACTGCAATGAGAAGCCTGCACACCGCAACTGCAGAATATCCCCTACTCACTGCAACTAGTAAAAGCCCACACACAGCAACAAATACCCACCGTGGCCAAAAATAAACAAATAAATAGACAGTAAAGGGACTGGTAGATGGAGAGAGGGATGAATGTGTATGTGATAAAATCATTAGAGGAAAGTTAATCACAGGATCTAGAGAGTAGAAACATGAGTGTTCTGTGTGCAATTCTTTCAAGCTTTCCGTATGTTTGATAATTTTCAGAAAGAAGCGTTGGGAGGAAAAAACAGGTCAGGGTCAACGGTCTCCTTAGCTTTAAATCCTACCTCTGCTAGAGGCATCAAGGGAAGCTGGGGGGTGGGACAGGGCAGGACTGACCTTGTGGTATCTGACTGTGAGCCCAGTTTCAGCTGCATGGACAGGGTGCCCCTAATTCTGGCAGTCCAGTTTTGATGAACAGGTCAGTCTCTCTTTCTACTTGCAATCTCTGGACTTCTTTTATACCTCTTCCTGTTCATCCATCTGGCTGGACTGCTTTTATCAAGGCCCCACACAGCCTTCCTCCAACCCTTCCCCTACTTCTCTAACCCCTTTGATCATTTCAGCCAGCCTTCTGGGGAAACCTTCTTCAACCTCATTATGTTGGTCTTCACCAATAAAGGAAAGCATCTCTTCTTAAAAGGCCCTTTCCATTAATTTGTCTGAGTCCTCTGTGGCCAAGAAAGGCGCTATCTAGTTTTCTACAAAAGTTCCTGCCTTCCATCCAATTTCACAGGAGGCTCACTCGATTGAAGCAGGGTTGGAAGGGGGGTTAGCTGTAATAAACTGCCTGAAGTCCATGGAGAGAAATACAATAGAGCTATTACCCAGCAGAGAGCCCTGGGTTTCTTGAACCCCAAAGTTGGGCCCCACAGTCTATGGGTAGACACACCATCATATACTAAAGGAAGCAGACAGAGCCATAACAGACTAAATTCACTTCTAATTTAACCCAATCTGGAACTAAAGATTATTCAGAACTTAAAAAAAGGCTCAGAGTTGATCATGTGCTTTTTTTAGGGGGGAGGGGTGGTTTACTTTTTTTCTCCTTCCTCTATTCACCTACTCATTTATTTACTAAATAAACACAAAACAGCAGTTTGGCATGGGCACTCAACACTAGTTTGGTCCCAATTTAGTAGAGTTTCTTGGTTTAAACAGAAAATTATGTGACATGTTGAAATGAATCTCTCCAGTATCCCGCAGGAAACGTGGTTCCACGGACTTGCCCAGAGGCCACGTCCCTGCTGGGAGTTCATGGGAGAAGCCCCCATTCTCCTCAGATCGCAGCAGACAGAGGGGGAGTGGGGGTGGCAGGGAGGAGGAGAGAAGGCCATCCTGTGAAGTCCCCACCTTAGCTGTCCCCTTTAAGACCTGTCTGTGTGCTGTGTCTCAGGATCTCAACACTGGATAGTAGGGCACACCCGGTCCTTTTGTGTGTGATAAACAGGAAGCATCCCTTCACCCGATGGCCTTCACAGAGTGGTCTCTGGCAAGGGGAAGCCAGGGCACTGCTCCCAATGCAAAGAGGCTGGTTTTGGCTCTGACCAGAGAGTAGTAATTTCTGCCCTCCCCTGGTTCATCATGCCTGAGGGTTTATAGAACACCCTCCCTTCTCTTGTCTCCAAGGTGCATCAACCCCTGGGAGGGAGACAAACTGGGCAGTGCTAACCCCATTCTTCACCTGGGGAAAATGGAGCCCTGAGAGGAAAGTGACTTGGGCCCCAAACTCAAATCTAGAGTGTATGTACCTAAAACAATGTTTACAATATCTTTCCTGATGACAAAAGTGGTAACCGCTCAGAATGAAAAGCTGGAAAACACAGAAAGGCTAGAAGACAACTGCTAAGGCCGGCAACATCCTGACACCAGGGGCTGACCTCCGTGAAACATGCAGGGCATCTTCCTCAGCGCTCCTCTATGAACATGTATTTGTTTCTACAACATGGCACACGGCACACTGACTTGATGGCTCTAGGTCCCCGTGGGCTCCCAGATACAGCGTGGCCTCCTGAGATGCCGGAAAGAGGCCCCTGGGGGCAGGAGGGGGCAGAGCGATGCCCTCACGAAGGGTCAAAGCAGGGACATGTAACACATCACATGACACCAATGGCGGTGCCCTCGTGGCTCCATATTTCTGGTCTCAGAAGACACCATAGAGGAAGAGGTCCCTGTGCGTTTCAAACCTGATGACCATAAGCTGAGTGCAAAATATCCCACCCCTTGCCCAAGCACCTCTTCCATCATGATTCACAGTCTAATGAGGTCCCAACCCTGACCAGACAAAGTTTAGTTAGACATGCACAGCATGAGGACAAAGAGGCATGGCCAGGGGTGTCCCCTAACACACTCTGAAATGGTGAAGAGAGTAGAGACAAAGTGAATGGCCATCAGTGGGGACAGAGTAAATAAATGATGAAAAATTAAAACTATAGAGTACTGATAGCAGTTAAAAATAAGGTAGACGATGACAATGATGATAATGGACTATATCTGCTAAGGGTTTTTCATTATGTCAGGCAAGGTTGTAAGCACTTTATACGCATTAATTATTTAATTCTCACAGTGCTCTTACAATGTAGAGCATCATTAGGGGAATGATGGGAATACATTATTCCCATTACAAAGAGGAGGAAACAAGGCAGAGGTGAAAGAGTTGGTAATGGCTGGAACCTAGATTTAAAGCCATCTTCCCTGTATACATAAATATTTTTATAGGGAGAGTATACTATTAATTGCACAGACAAAAAGAAGAATGAAGAGATTAAAAAACAAAAGCTGAGGAAACTAAGTAGGAGACTGAAGTCCTGGTCTGGTTTCTGCTCTGCCATACAACACTCCAAGTCACTTCTTGCCAATCCCAAGTTCCTCTCATGTTGGTAAGGGAGCTGGACAAGGTAAGTCTGGCATGCCCGCTCTGTATTCCTTCTCCTTCTCTTGGTAAGAGCATCCTGATTTTCCTTGGGGAATCTCCCACCCTGTGATCCCACAGGGTTTGAGAGAAGTCTTTGTCTTGCCTTGAGGGTGGGCAAGAGAGCCTGGCTCAGCCAACTGCAGCTCCCCAGGCCCGTGGTTGTTTGAGGGGTGGGCACTCGCAAACCAGAACAAACTGTGGCTGAGACAGCTGGGAGAGATGGAAGCTTTTTTTTTTCCTGTAAATGAACATGGAAGGATGGAAGTCTGGTCTGCCTGAGGCCACCATACAGACTGTTCTCT